TGATTTATAAAATCCAAACTTGATGTGAAAATGTGTGGTCTCAGACAGCTCTGACCCATGCGTACGTTCATTTTGGAGACGGGAAACTGCGACACAGATGGTGAAGTGAGGAATTAGAGCCACACTGTGTAATGATCACTGTCAGAGATTTAATTTACCTTCAGAATCACACTTAGATTTTTATTCAACTTTATCAAAAGCTTCCTAACAGTAATATTTATGCTTCTGATGCTGGGCCATGAGGACCTTTGAAATAAAAAAAACTTAAATCTTAAATAAAAGTTCCCGTGCACAACTCCATTCATCTGCTTCCTCCTCAGACGACCCTGACCCACAGACCCCTCCCTGACCCACAGACCCCTCCCTGACCCACAGACCCCTCCCTGACTCACAGACCCCTCCCCGAGCAGGACAGCAAAAGTCAAGCTTTGGATACACGCGCAGGGCGCATCCACCTCGCCAGTGTGGATGTTATAAAACTTCACGTTTAAAGTCCGTATTTGTCACGCGCGGGGTGGGATGCGTGCGTGTATGTGTGTGTGTGTGTGTGCGCGCGCACGGGGCGGGGGTGTCTGCCGCAGATAATAGAGCAGGCAGGAGGGGGAGAGGACGAGGAGAAGAGCGGTGGACTTACTTTTAATTTTATCTGACTTATTTAATTAAATTTTTATCATCCTGCAGGCTCTGAGGAAAAATTAATTTGAAGCTGAGTTTTTTTTATAAAAATCGTTACATTACTCTAAAGCAAAATGAGGGAAAATCTGTGTCAATTACAGACATTCTGTTCACGTGAGCAGCTGTCAGTCAGCACCTGTCATCCTCCAGACACACGAAGGAGTGAGTGTTTGAACCAATCACTTTTGTTGACATTGATCAGCTGACTGATTTAAAYACATCTTAACATTCATGAGGTACTTTACATTGACTGTTTATGGTTGAGTGTTGGTGTGTAGAGGGTAGAACCTGAGGCGGGACCTTGTGCGCAAACTCTGATGTGGGCTGTGATCTATAAAGGAAAGATGCGCAGAAACATGCGTACGTACGGTTTTATAAATCTGAATTTTTTTTGGCGTACGCCATTTCCGCCTTTTGGCCATACGTTCACTTTTAGTATGGTTTCCACGCAATCCTTTATAAATGAGACCCCAGGTTTCTGATTTCTCAAAGTAACTTGACTGCCATCAAAAATGGTAATTAACCAAAGAAAAAGAAGCACTCGTTCTACTTTTAGCCTTAGAATATGTTTAAAATGCTTTATAACATGAGCTGGATCTGAATAGACAGGAATCTGTACTTTGAGGATCACTGTTTTAGTGAATAGCTGCATCTTGACTCAGTACAAGAGAGTTGTGTCACAGAGWGTGTACATAGAGTGTGGTGAAGGAGCAGAAGAAGGTCTTTGCAGATACAGAAAAATAAGCAGGAAAATCAGGTGAGCCAGAAGGCAAAGTTTTCATTTAGCAGTCGGTCTACGTTCCTACCCTCATCAATGGTCACTAACTTTGGGTAGTGATCGAAAGAACGAGATTGCGGATACAAGCTGCCAAAATGAGTTTCCTCTGCACGGTGTCTGGGCTCTCCCTTAGAAGCTGCGTTTCCATTGACCATGAAAATGTGCAAATTAGAATTTCAAAAATAAATTTGCTCAATGGAGACACGTCGATTTGGCGGTTTTTCGGCCGTATCGAAATTGGTGTATTTCGCAAAACTGCAATGGAAACACTTTTTTCACATCACAGGAGTCACATGATCAAGAACCGGCTGTTTCTACTGGCCAAAAAGATGACAACGAAGAAGATAACAGGAAGTAAAAGTAGTAGTAAAATCACTGAAGCAGTAAAAGAAAGTAGTAAACTCACCAACTACAATTTTCCAAAAACACAGCATACATAGCCACTCCCAAGTATAAGGGGCTTGTCACTCGAAAGCCTCAATAAGACGCCAACGTCTCCTC